CATATTATCTTAAATATATATATGCACTCCGTTAATTATCTTTAGAAACACGTCTACTCATTTAATAATACATGCATTTACATATATGTACACACATCCACATTGTTATAATCTTTTCGTCGTATGCAGGTGCGACGAACGAGTTTATGGCTACTATGTCGATACAGAGAACAGTTGTCAAGTGTTCCATGTGTGTTATCCTTATGTTGACGTCGATCTTCTTATCAAAGTGAGGATGTTTTCTTTCATCTGCGGTGAAGGACTTGTATTCGATCAGTCGAGGCTGGTAAGAAATGAAGTTTTAACATTCTCCATCATAGTTGTTTATACATGGGATTATATTGCAATCAGATCCATTGTTGGAATTTTCATGATCTAACTTATCTGTCTCCAACAGGTTTGTGACCTCCCAGAAAACTCCATCCCTTGCGACATAGCTAGTCAGTACTACGATATCAACAATTACTTTGGACGAGAAGACCTCAATTTCGGGGAAGGGGAAATCCCCGAAGCACCTGAGAGAGATTTTCAGATACAGACTTTTGCTGAATTCAGTCGGAATCTTCAGTAGAAAAGTAATTTTCTCCATTTTAGCATTTTACGATATACAGAGAATATGTCTTTTCTACTCCTTCTAAGTGTTTCTTCTAATAGTTTACTTTATCGCCGCTGAGCGGTGATTGTTTTTGTTTTTATGTCCATTTTAATTGTAGTGTGTTTGCTAAATGAAGGTCAGATTTTGTTAATTATACAGTTAATCAACATTCGACGCAAGAATAAGACAACAATAGAAATGTCTTTAAGTTCTGTACATCAAAATTAATTCTAGATTTAGCGTGGAATGTATCTGATTGTTTGTCTCTGATTTCTTGCGTTTAATGTGTAAACGTAGGCTGGTCCTACCGTCTCTTTATTTACGTTTACTTTTGTTAACTCTAGATAAACATACACGGCATAACTGATGTTACTTTTGTCGGTACTTTTAAATAAAGATATGATAAACTTATTACCACCCCTTCAACCTAACAAAGGGAAATCCGATATATTGAAGGCTAAAATAATCAGGAAATAAATAAGTGAACATTTGGGCATTTAAAAGATTTGTAACGAAAGAAGAATATGAGGCACTTGGATAACCTAGAAATAACCTAGAAAAAATCTGCACCCCTACTGCGAGCTGCCTACCAGCCCTCGTACGCGATCAATAGGAAGAGCACTTTTCCCCGTAAATTAGATTGATGCTGCCAGATTACATCATCCAGGACGGATAGGTCAGTCCGATCAGTTGGGAACCAAACACGTAAATTGTGACCGGTACGACCTAGAGTGGCCCAATCAACTTTGACCCCGGCCTTTCACGTGCCCGGTGGTTCTAAAGTGGGATTAGAATTAGTAACTATTGTACAACCTGCTGGAATTTCAGATACAAAAGAATTGACCTATATAAAATGAATTCTTAAAATTTCAAATGATTGATAAGGAAACCTAAGATTTCAAATA